TAATACCGGAAGAAAAGAGAGCTGCTACACTCGCGGTAAAGACAGCGAGAGCGGTTTTTATATTAGTTACTACGTTTGATCTAGATATAAAGTAGCGAGATGTTGTGAATGCATTTCTAAACTCTATCTTATAAGATAAGATTTATACTCGCTATCCCCCCGGTTTTAAAGCATTAGGCCGATACTAGATACTATACCGTGCGCTATACGGACTACAGATATCTCTACGTTTATAGTAGTAAGAAGCTACTAGGGTACTAGTGAAACTAGGCCTTACCCCTATACTAAAGGATCCATACATTTTTATTATAAACGGGATCATCGTTTTCTTCTATATTAATAATATTATCATTATAAACTACCTAGATCATATAAAACAGGCTACTAATCTAGATAATTAGATAAAAAAGCACTAGGAGCTTCGTGAATTTAACGCTAGTTAGTTTCTAAATATACGTATTATAAGAGATCGGACTAAAAAGAAGCTCTAGCTATACTAAGATAGCTATATTAAGAGTATAGCGGCGAGATATAGTCTGATTACTAACCAAAGGGTTAATACGCCCCTAAATATAGAGCTATTGCTCCCCTTTAATAGCGTTACGATAGCGAGCCAGATCTATGGTTTTTAGGCCAAAGTTAGATTAGCTTAGTACGCTACCACAATCTCTAGACTAGACACTACAAAAGTAACTAGCAAACTGGCTAAATTCCTTCTAAACCCTAAACCGAAGTATCTAGATACTATTAATAGAGTCATCCAATATCTCTACCAAACCCGCTACTATACAATTAAGTACGGAGTTTAGATAAAAGATAAGAATTCTAGCCTATAGCTTACAGCAAAATCTATTGAATTTGTAAGCGATATATCTTTTAGAGATAACAGAGATCGGAAGAGCTTAGAGGGCTACATATATAAGCTCTATAGTGGTCCTATAGACTAGAAGGCTTCAAAACAGAAGACTATCACCACGTCTACCACCGAAGTAGAGCTTTTAGCTCTATCCGAAGCAGGCAAAACTATCCAATAGTAGCGCCGAGTCCTCGAGTCCCTAGGGTTTAAACCCTCTCACAAGCTGTCAATTACATACGACAATCAGCAGACTGTTGATCTGCTAACAAAGGAAGGCGCCACTATACATATAAAGCTTCGACATATTGACATCAATAGGCTTTGGATAAAACAGGAAGTGAATGCTAGCCGCACTAACGTACATTGGATTCCTACAGCAGAGATGCCGGCAGATGGCCTCACAAAGATACTACCGAGGCAGAAGCAGTAGGCTTTTAGACATCTGCTTAGGATGAGAGAAATCAGACATCTGATTATACCCTAGGAAGGTGGAATTAACAGCTCTTGAAGCATTTGTGAATAGCTTCAAAAGCTGGGGGGTGTGTCAGAATACAGACCGAGTACATGGATTACCGAGTCCAATACCATGGAATCATGTGATTTTAGACTATGCAAATTGCTTACTAATTGTGTCCGACCAGACTGTCAAAAACGGACCATTGTTGTTTTTTAGTTAGTTAGAGAACTTTACCATCGTGAATTTACCAATACGTTCGCCATACACCTGATTTCCGTCACCCCACACTGTTACTTGTAAGTTCAGGGCGCCAACTACCCATGGATGCTACTAGAGCCGGCTCGAAACATTATGGTGAGATCGAGATCCAATTATTCGAACCTTGCAAAGGATTATAATATGATTGAGCCGGGGGCGTCCTTCTCATGGCAGACGTACATCACCAATAAATTTCTTGCTGCTTGGGCACCAAATCATGTGCCTAGTGCTGTGCGGTTTTGGGGGCCATATCACCTGTCGATCTTTGACTTGATCAATATCTAGCTCTGCCCATCGACTCAAACTACATGGGCATTGACACTGCAATTGTCTTCGGCTGGCCAGTAGATAGGGCGGCGACTCATACCAATCAAAGCGGAGAACAATAGAAGCCTATCCAGCTAGATAGTTCGTTTCACATTTGCCGCGTGAGTGCCGTGTGCAATTTGAAAGTGGAGAAGGCTCGCCACTGTAATAGAGAAAATCAAACAAGCCTACAGGGGTCCAAAAATGTACTTTTGTCCCACGCCAATCAGATAGACTTACAATTTAAAAAGGTACGAAGAGATGGGGCGCAAAATATTCCATCATCCGGAAGTGTGCGCGCACATGATCGCGGGATCTTTCGCAAAAGCTATTTAGTGCTTTGTCTGTCCTTCGTTGGAACTTGCAAGGCAGTGGTTTCACGGCGAGCCCGAATCAAGACTCTATTTCGACTTTCGACATGGTATGAATATTGGACTGTGTTTAGCAGGGTTCTCCTGGTTCCCATTTAGCTCACAAATATAGTCCCTCCGCGAGTTGGCGCCAGGCACAGGGCGAAATGGTACACTGAAGCCAGAACTTGAGTACAGTTATCAATTTGAATTTTTGACGTTGCTTGTTTTGACCACGATTTAGCATCATCGCTGTCCATGGTCTGAATCCGATGGGATCTGCTGGCCACGCCTTCAACACTTGGCGGAAACCGGAAGATGATAGCGGTAACCTCTGGTTGAAACACGATTTTCCAAAAGTCCAACCTAACGCGAGGATTTTCCTCTATGAATACAACTCAAGTCCCGTCTTTGGGTCGGGAAAAGATAGCTTTGTACACGAGGCAAACCAATTCTTAGATGAGATTTATGGAGCAAGATGGGAACTTGTGAGTTGCACGTTGAGAAATTCCCTGAATGAATTAACTGAACGCAAATTCAGGGTGAAAACATCCCCTTAATTCTTGTCGGACACAGTCTGGGGGGGGATCCTCATCAAGCAGGTAAGATCAGTGACATTCCCATATAAGGTGTGTTCTAACCAAGATGGTAGGCACTGGTGAATGCGTGGGCAAGTCCAAAGTACAGGGGCATCAAAGAGGCAACGTAAGTTTAATACTCTGCCCCTTTCCCACCATAATCTATCGGCTAAACATGCCTGATAAGTCACTCGCTTGTGTTTTTTGGAACCCCTCATGGCGGGCCGTCAAAGAATGTCCAAGTCGGCCTCGGCATGGCATGTGCTAAGATTGCCCGATCTCTGCCATTTGGGGCTCATTCAGCCTTGATAGAGGTTCTAGAACAAGGAACACTCTTTTCCGATATTCTGAGTGAGGCTTTCCGACACCAGCTCGAATCGTACCACATACTATCCTGCTACGAGGGAATAGGCGATGTATCCACCCAACATCCCAACTTTCTCTGGCAGATGCTAATTTTTGTATTCTAGATTGTTCCGTTTGATTCAGCTGTTTTAAACCTTCCAGGAAACCGGGAAACACAATTGCGTATAGATGCCGACCATAGCAATATGTGTCGTTTCAACCTGGATGTCCAATCTGATGTGGATAATTACAGAAAAGTGCAGCGAAATTTGCAAATGCTTTGTGCAGATGCACTTCTGGGTTCATTGAGGCTGAACCAAGGTCACGGTAAGGATAGATCCGCTGGGCAACGAGGATTGGGCTCTGATTTACATTCAACCACCTTCCCAGATGGGAATCGCTGTTACTTTCAGAACCATACCTAGTTCTCTAACCTATTTGAGCTTTTCTGATCATCTTTCCATTTTAGACGGCCAAAATATCGCGAATGGTGGTATTGACTTATCAAGTATTCTTCTACGACCAATACGCTGTATACAAGACAGGCCCAGGCCGCCCGTAAAGATGTGTATGACAATCAAATTTTCGAAACCAAGAGCTCACGGACTAACATGTCCATCGCCCGCAGATCTTTCTCAGCTTCCTGATCTGGCCTGGACAGTCTATCGCTCATGTCAGCGCACCTCTATACCAGCATTTCTTCAAGTCGGGCAAGATGTTCTTCAGTTGCATGTCGAACTTCGTATATTCAATGAGAAACTAAAGAGCGACACTTACTCAACAGATCGTCGACAAGAAATTGAAGATCGACTTTTTGATTGCTGCCAGACTCTAGAAGACCTAGTGACAATAATCGAAGCCCATGGGAGGGTTTCTCGGATAGGAAGGAAACATTTTATGCAACAAATGCTGGAATCTTCAGGCTTTGAGAATTGCAAGTCACAAATTAGATGCACCACCTCAAAAATAAATGGGTTAAATGAACACTTGGCAAGGTATGTGACTTACTAGCAAAGAATTATCAGCAATGAAGGGCTTACTGACTCTGAGCATAGTCGGTCTATGAACGACTTGGTTGAGAGATTAGACGGACTTATAGAGTCCATCAATGAGAGAGAAGGGGAGAATCGCTCTTTTTCAAGCCTAGTTTCTAGTTCCACGATCTTAAGCTTGAAGAAAGATAGTGCCGAATGGTACGAGCTGGAAAGAGAGCTGGTCAACTCTGGAATCTCGCCTCAAATCCTCGGCGAGCAGCATCACTTCATTACTCACTGGCTTGAAAATGCATCCTTATCGGGAAGACTGATCCTTTCAGATGAAGTGCAAGACTCGGCTCTTTGCCCTGACAATGAGTCTCTTTACACGTATAGCACGGAATTGCAGCACGTCAACAAAGGCTCTCCGCACTGCATCCCCCTGCAACCCTGGCTCCTAGTGTGGGCCAGGCTCAAGAAAGCCCAAATGGGAATGGCTCTCCCCGAAAAAACACAAAACAAACGAATTGGCGCTACTCCCTAGTGCACAAACTCCGATATGGCTCTGCTGATCCATTCATTGCTCTACATAGAGCCGTATCTCGAGATGACTATTCGGCAGTGTCTAAATTGGTACAAAAGGCCACCGTATCAGATCAAATTCAAACGAAAGGCTCTGTTCTAATCGGCTGTGCTGTTGAAAAAGGCGATTCGGAAATGCTAAGACTATTAGTAGAGCAGTCTTCCTCTGTTGACTGGTCCAAGATGCTTGGGGCACAATTACATCAAACGCTTCATACTGGATCTGGATTAGACCTGCTTGATATTTTTATCAGAAACGGTGCATCTTTCGGGTCCCTTGAGCTTGCATCGACTATGAGTTGTGCTTCGGAGTCCACTTTTTTGCAGATGATGCAACTGAGAAATGACTCTATTGAATATGAAGGGTGGGCTCAAACCTTTCTCTATATTGCTGCTAAGCTGGGGTACGTTGATATTTTTGAAACTTTCGTGAACCAATACGGTGGAATAAACTCTCTTGTGGAAGGTACAACTCCATTTCATATCGCTTGCGGATCGGGAAATATCGATGTTGTTCACAGTGCGTTTGAGATGGGTGGAAACTTCATGACATTGGATTCCCAGGGCGAAACACCTTTGCATGCTGTTGTATGGGGCGAGATTCATGAAAATTGGAACATTCGTGCAACCCTGAGATATCTCATTGGAAAAGGAGCGTCTCTCCTAACAAAAACAATATCCGGAAAGTCACTGCTCCACCTAGCAGCGGAAGTGTCAAATCTCCAGGCAATAGAGTCGCTGGTTGGTATTGAGATGCATTGCAATATTCTTGACAATTTTGGAAACACGCCATTGCATGCTGCTTCTAACACCAAAGAGCTGAATGGCCCATTGGGACACAAACATCGTCTCGATCCAATGCCATTTTACCACCCGACACTTCGGCGTCGAGTAACCCAAATTGATTTTGGGGATTTTTCGAAGATGTCGGGGGTTATTCTCAAAGGTCATTGTACAGAAATCGACGGCCTCAAATTCTTTAATCGTCAATCTAAACCGGATGAACGGGGCAGCGATGAAGCAGTGCGATTGTTATTGCAATATGGAGCTGCGGCAAATGCGAAGAATAATGACGGTGTGACACCATTACACCTGGCGTCTAGATGTGGGAATTTGCCTCGAATGGAGGCGCTTTTAAGCAAAGGAGGAGATCCTAATATCAAAGACAATGCAGGGTGGACAGCTATCCGATATGCTATCAGCGCTAATTCGGGGCCTGCAGTGAAGCTCTGTCTAGAACATGGTGCGGACACAAGCCAAAGTGTGCCGGTTTCCTTGGGCCAAAACGTCGAGGAAGAATTGACAATTCTGGAACATATCAAGTTTATGCGTGCTACTGAACTGTTGTACATTTTGCGAAAACACGAAAATCCAGATATTCCGGATGAAACCATTGAAGGGCTTGAAATTTTGAAACATTCAAGCGACTTTAAGTGGTTACCTGGAAGAGATAGGGAAAGGGAGAAAGAAGACAGAAGACATCGTCATGAAGAATGAAAAACGCAACAGATAGGAAATAGTTTGGGATAGCGGTCAAGTCCAGCGGAAATTATGGCAATGACAGAGACAGTTAGCCAGCGTAAGGTGGGAAACCCACTCACTTTATTTCTGTATATTATTTTGTTAGGTATCAAATCTTACCCCAATCGGTCCTCGATCGAAAGGGCAAAAACAAAATGTTCTTGTGGCCGATTCTTTGAGAGAATGAACCATCCAGGCCAAAGCTGGCGCTTGAGATGATCATAGGGGGGCTTGGGCTAGAAGAATCTTTAGATATGGTGACTGGCAGGGCTCATCGAATGGCACTAATATTTAAGCCAGTTTACAGCAAGTGAGTGTTCACAAGAAGTGATGTTGTCGGCTGGCAACTGATTTCGCAGCGCGTTTGATGAAGTGTCTTTCCACTTTTTCCAATCTTCGCAAAGGAATGAGCTGAAAGAGATCGACGATTTGAATGCCGATGTTGATAACCTGGCCTGCCTACTCTACTTCCGTTATTCGATAGTATTGATCAAGCAAAAAAAGAATGAAGGGGATGATCACACTCGTACAGCAAGAGATGAGGAGAACTGCCTTCGGCGCACTGCGCCTTGGAGAGCATCGTCTGTCGGCCTAGGATGGTACCGGCGCGGATTAGGGATTGTCCAAACTAACCCGCCTGAAAGGTTTTTGCATGGCAACGATAACTTGGTATCTATCATTTGGCTTGTAATTGCAACCTCTATGTAGGACAATTCGGAAACCCCGGTCTACCTCCCTCCGATGTGGATAGTGAGCCTGCGTCCTCCTGTATAAATTTCAGAGGGAGGCAAAAGCCATTCCACTTGAGGCTGTGTGCAGATGCCGAGAGACTGGCTGTTTCAGATGGAGGCTCGTGGCCCAATGATGTCCTACTTTCGCTTAGCTGGAAAGGTCAGTGCGACGGTCACCTCGGCCGATGGATTCTCACCTAGCTCTCACCTTTATTTTCACCCTATCTATTACGCACTAATCCTTATCAACCCTAGTCGCGCGACCGTAAAGCGGCGCTCACCCATTTCTCACCCTGGGGACACCCACCCAACTATTGACCGCACATAAGCCACACGCCGGTGAGTTAGTAGTTGGGTGGGTGACCACCAGCGAATCCTCACTGTTGTATGATTTGCTTTTTATCTTTTTGATTCTCCGTGTTTATCCCTGGCCGCCCTGCCCTAATCTTGAGCCTACATATCAACATATCGGATCATCGTCCAATTGGTCCCCGCTGGTTTCTGAGCGGATCTTTTCCCCGTGTGCCCGGACACATAACACCCACAACACCACGAAGGCGGTGACCCCGGTCCTGAATATCAAACATTGCAAACATCCCAGACACTCCTATCCTCAGTCTCCAAGGAGGCACTCCCCTTTGTACACACCCAAATAAGATCTCTCTAGATCTCTCAGCTTCTTTCACCCAGTTGTGACGTTGATTTTTCCCCGTGGATCGTCTCCCGGGGAGACGTCTTGCCGAGTCTCCCGAAATGGGAATCAGGGGATTATGGAACTTGCGTGTGGACGGTTGGCAAAATGCATAATGATTTATTGTGCAATATTAATGGTTTGAATTAGGCTGCTGGTACCGCCTCCGGCATCCACGGATTCGAGTGAGCCCACCAGAAGCAGCTGAGACTGTGCGCAGAGTCAAGCAGATATATAACAAGACCATCAACCTTGAACAGTGGGATCAAGTCCCTTTTCCAAGCCCGCTAGATTCCTACTTCGATTTTGTCTACACGATCGATCAGGATGCGGGCACCTTCACTCTTTCGAAGCGGTCGGCTGTTGATGGCGTACTGACGCCCCAAGCATTTGAGGCCAGCCTGGCCGAGATATGTGAAACCTCCAGCATTTTCGTAGAGTCTTTACGACAAACGTGTCTTCCCCCATTCCTGTTTCTGAAAAAGATTACGACTCGCAATTTGACTCAGTAAGCCTGAAACAATGGAATCTCCCGATGGATTTGCCTACAGCCATGGTCGAGCTTCAACAACAATTCTTCTTAAGACTTCGTCTTTCTATGGCGCTCCTGGATTGACGACCCTATGACCTGGCATTATGGAAGCCGTGTATTCAATGCGTTCAGCAGAGCTATCCTCCGTCTCGCTTCATGGGATTTCGAAGTATCTTACGATTGCGACGTGCCACTGCCCAGCAACCATAGTTCGATCCCCAGATGGCAGTTTCCCGAAGACGAACGGTATTGGTTTCACGGATTTCTCGTTATGCTGCAACCGGATCTTGAATCACCTCAACTGGTTCGCACAGCCATCGCCGGAGCTAAAGCGTTCATCGACAGTTCTAGTCGCATACCTCACAAAGTTCGGTCTATCCTTATCTCACCGCGCCATGTGGCTTTTGTTGAATTGTCCCAACACAAAACTGCGTGCAGCGAGGTTTCTCCCGCTCCTAACCGATTCCTCGGCAACGCAATGCTCCCCGGGATTTCGGGTGTTAGCCCAGGTTCTGTCCTCTAATTGCTGGAAAATGACCTGGGCTCACAGAGAGAAGTGGCCTTCTTATATGCCATCAGAGGTTTTATTAGGGATCCTCCGTAGCTTGGAGCCAAGGGATGCACTCTCGTTTGCACAGGCTTCCTTCGAAGCTGAACGATGGTATTATGCTTCAGTGCCCCAGTTCACGGATGTTTCTGTGCAAAGCCTGGACCTGTCTATACCCTGCTGCGGCGATCGTACCGGATTAGAGGATTCGGGCGTACACTGTACTAGGTGTCGTACATGGCAACATCAAATGTGTATTGGGCTGGAAACCTTACCATTTAACGATTCATTCACCTGTGCCGTCTGCCTCGAGAAGAACCCGAAAGCCACTCGCCTCACAGCCGGTGGGATTAACAGACTCGGTGGCCGGGCTGAAAGAAGGATGTGCGCCATCAAAATCGATGGATCCGCCAAGAGCCTTCGAGTGCGACTCTCCCAGCCTGCGCACCTTCGACCAGATCTACGGCTTATTGGGGATCTAATCCATAATGTCCCTAAAGGCCATATTGATTTTACCATTCGGTTCAATGGGGTCTTTGCAGGATTAGCATATGGCGTGGAACCTGATCTTATGTCATTAGACACAGGCCTAGGCAGTGGACGTGGATGTTCCTCTTGAATGAACTAATTCCAACATGCTGGGATTATAGCTCTAAAGATATAGAGCACCCAAGAAGGGTGAGTGTGGATTCTATATAAATATTGATGTCACCATCTGTGATAATGAGGCCAAATGGCCATTTTCGGTATGTACAACGAAACCAAAGGATGTTGGAAATGAGATATCCCCCGCCAAACCAAGATCTAAAATCTCAGAGACGCGGAGCGAAAAAGTCAAAGTCAAGATCACGTTTTTCACATAGCCTGCTTTCCCTGGGTTTCGATTGGCAAAAAGCACATCGCGACAAACGAAGCAAGAATGAGTCCACCCGCCGCATAGATCGGCGCAACGGGATCAGTACTAGCATAGATACCAATGATCGGGGCCATAAGACCGGCGATGCGGTTCAGGCAACTAGCAATTCCAGATCCTGTCCCTCTGTTTGGTGCAGGGAAGACTTCAGGCGTATAGGCATACAACACACCGTACATGATCATCTGGAAGAAAGACTCCAAAGAAGAGCACAAGAGCTGAATGTTAGGATCCTTGGTAGCGGTGAAGCAGAACAACAAGACGCCCGTGATCAGGGTGGATGCAGCCATGGTGCCCTTGCGGCCAATGTACTTGATGTCAACCAGAACCCAGCCAAGAAGTGGACCTGGGATTCCACAGACTGCTGTGATGGCGTAATTGCGATAGGTGATATAAGTGGAAGAGTTGGCGCCCAGATATTGAGGAAGGAAAGCGTTGAACAGAGTATAGCCCATTCCAATGCATGTCCAGCAAAACCAGATCAAGATGGCTTTGATATGTTAGCCAGAAGAAGATCCCGTGAACTAGGGAGAGGGATACGTACTCGAAACGGCAAGACGCTTTGTTTTGAACAAGGGCTTGATTTGTTGAACCGAGAATCTCTCAAGAGACCTCTTGACGATTTGCCCTGTGGACAGGGATTGCTTTTCCTTAGCCTCCTCTGGATACCCACCGATCTCGTTCAAGATGTCTTCGGTGAGCCAGGTGGTAGTCCTGTTCTTGTGGGCGATTCCGTGAACTGCAGCGACTGCTTCGTCCTGACGACCGCGGGCAACCAGGAACTTTGGGGATTCGTAGAGCGTAAAGAGGAAGAATCGACAAAGGAACATGGCAAAGGTAATGGCACCCAGCGTCAAAACAAGATACCTCCAGCCCCAGTTGTTTGCCCTGGTACAGGTGTCATAGCTTTCACAAGAGAAAGTGGGAATAAAAGCCCAGGCGAGCATACTGACCGGGGATTAGCTCGGAAACCAGCAATGTGTCGGGGAGACAAACCTGGCAATTAAAGTACCGACAGACCACCATGTTGCCAGTCCACTGAGAATTTGGGTTGAGTTGGGAGGCAAACACTCCAGGAAAACGGCTGCGTCCACGGGTAGATTACCGCCAACACCCAGACCCAAGCAAGCATATAAAGCACATGTCCTGTTCTCCAAGTCAATAAAAAAGTACTACCCAAGACCTGTGAAAGAACCTACCCAATCCAGTTAGGTCCACCTCCAGCGGCGAGGCCAAAGGTACCGCAAATGCAAAGCGTCATGTTGAAAGCTGGACGGCGTCCAATAGCATCGGAAGCAATACCCCAGAAAGAGGCACCGACAATAAGACCCACAAACAGAGCACAAGTTGCAAAGCGAGACTCATTCTCAGAGACGCCAAATTCCATGGCGATGGGTGTCAAGGTGAGAGCGACTCCCTAAGATTGATTAGCCCACTGTTGTAAGATTGATTAAATAACACATATCGTACCTGCAACCAAAGGCTATAACAATGACTCGTTAGGAAAACACTAGAACTGGAGTGATGAGGTGAAGATTTGCTTACTTGTCCGCAACCCAGCCCATTCCACAAAGGACAAAGAGACCCCATTGATAGCGTCCCATACCAATGTCCTGAACTGCTCTGTTGATTACTTTCGCTTTGCCTGTGAAATGATGTTAGATCCAGCACAGATAATCAAGATTAGGCGATGAGGAAATGCCAATTCTGAATCGATGAGACAAGACCCGGTGGCCATAAGAACGTACGATCATATGCAGTGTCATGGCCTGAAGCATTAATATCGGCTTCGACGTCTGCCCTGAGAGCTTCCAGAGTCAATGTGCTACTGACATGAGTACCGGCGGTACCCTTTTCCTGAGAAGACGTCCTGTCGAGGCCACTGCTGGAGTCATTGTCCTGGCTATCATTGGTTTTCGGTGCCGAGCCATGGGCCAAGGGGACCACAACTTCGGGAAATTGGCGTCGCTCACGGTTGGCCAAAAGGTCTTTCCAGTTCGGCATGTTGTCCAGAGGTCCGGTATGGCAACAGGGCAGCTGTACAATTGAGTCGCTTGGCAAATGACCGGTTGGTGCAACGGATAAGGTGACTGGTCGAATATAGCTCTTGCGTGAGGGCACGATCTACCGTTTTGTTTCGGGTATATCGCTACTGAAATTGTCGTATAAAGTGGCGCAATGGATAAAAAGTCGTAGGTGCAAGGGCTGATTTTTAATCTGTTCGCAAGGGAATTCCGGGAGATGCGCAATGGAGTAGTGGAAGTCGAGTAGAACCGAAGTTGGCGCAACGGGATGAAATGCAACTATTTGCTGCTACTTCAGAACCTTGAACTTTGCGAGACTGTTGAGATCAAGTTTCTTTGGAGGGTGAACTATGTAGTTGCGTGCCGTGATTAGTATTGCGGGGTGTTTTCGTCAAGTCTGTTCGGATTCGTCAAGTCTGTTCGGAGGTAGACGATCTCCTAGAACGCCAAAGGGCAAGGTGGAAGATGAAGTATAAGAAGATTCGACTATATCGCCTCTACAGGACTGGAGGGATAGAGGTGGGTAGCAATGGGTGAAAGGGGAAGCAATTTATAAGACGGAAAATCTTTCATGTTAGATAATTTGAAGCCGACGAGTGGACTGATGAGTGGATCAGATATGGACTTGGCCAACCACATTTCCATGTCGCCCCTATAGGTCAAGCTTCAGCCTCTGATATGTGTCGTAGGTGTAATTCCGTCAGGTCCACCATACCTTTCCTCATCGAGCAGGACGATTGAGATCTTCGACGTGCCAAGAACTTCAAGCGAGAACGATGTTGAGGAAATTTCCCCAACATTTAGTTTCTAGTCCAGGTTTCAGTAACTTCCACTTATTAGCCTTTAATATTCAAAGACCTTCAAATAAGGTCTGAAATATTTTCGCCTGGAGGTGTGATGTCCACGGGTGTGCGTCAATGACTAATCACACGACTCCATACGCGCGCGGGCCATGTCCGGAACCGGGGCCCGACGTCGGGGGGCTGATCCGGTTGTACCTACGATATACGCAATTTATCCATTTGTTTTATCTTTTGGGCTTGGTGATTGTGCTCTGATGATAGGACTTTGCCGAGAGAATGTCATCTAGGAGATTTCACAGAAAAACTACAATATTTCGACTGGATGCGTAGTTCGATCATTACGCAAGTACTGATCGGGACATTTATTGCATAATGTACAGCATACAATCGGAACTACCCAATTCCACAACATGATTTAGGGATTGGTAAAACCATAACCATGATAAGCTATAGAAAAAATAGTTCATAATAACCCCCACTATCGTCCAGATCGAGCCACCGTTTTCTTCATGCGGTTAACTAGAGACTCGATATCTTCCATCGAATCACTGTCTAGCCCCTCCAAGAAGTCCTTGGGATCCATACGCAAAAATACTTTCCCAAGTAGCCACACTTCATCAGCACTCATCATGATGCCAACACGTTCGAGCTCCTCTGATGGTGTTTGCGAGATCAATAGGTCCCATATTAATTTCCACCTAGACAGAGCTCGCTCTATTACTTGTAGTTGGCGTTGAATAGTTCCAGTTGCGTGAGCAGAGAAGATTATTGAGGGGAATCCTATGAGGGGGACTTAGCTGAGACGCTCGGTCAACTAAACAAATGATCTGGAACTTACCACAAAGTACGGCATACAGCCCGAAAACACTGATATTTCGGAACTGAGAATTGTCTGCGCCACACCAGCTGTTGTCCATAAGCAATCCCTCAAATTCCGCAATGGACAGGTTGCATTGGTCTAGGTCTCCAGTAATAGTGCGAGCAAGCATCTTTGTATCGTCAAGTAAAAAGTCTATTTCGTTGCCCGGGAGGTCTCCTGTCAACTCCACAATCGTGATAAGCGGAGGAGACCGAAAACCAATAATGAATTGGCAATCAAGGAGAAATAAATATGTAGAAACCCTATTGAACGCCCAGTTAGTCTTAAAAGTTTCAAGAGCCAACTTAGGGGGGCCGATGTACCGGATAAGGCACTCATTCTCTAAAAATGTCAGATTGTCAAATGGTGACCTTGATGACGCAGTCCGCCTTCTGATGTTAAATAGCGATAGTGACCGCGCAACACGCACTAGTGCTGGAAACCGATGGGTCCGGATTCTTCGATACACTTCGGCATTATTTCGTCCCATCTGAAGTTGCACCATGATGATTGCGGCAACAAAGGGTTCCATGAGAGAGGAAATCTTACGGTCCATGGAGCCCTGGCCCGCATATTCTTTATGGAAAATCGGGAAGCTGAATATATACTCTTCCACAAGATCAAAGCAGTCGATCGCAAGGGTATATGTATCGCGTGGGTAAGAGTATATTGAACCGCCCATGAAAATCGCCAGTAGGAGAGGCAAAGAGACCGATTCCAGGCAAAAAGAGGGCAAATGAAAAATAGGACAATGACGATAAAAATGTTCAAGATACAGTTGCGTGAATTCGGTCATATTCACGGTGGAGAATAGATCCTGTGAGATAGCAGCATCAAAGCAAGCTTGAACTCTTCCCGTCGCTTCCGTACGCCCAGCAACAAGCGTCAGCATTTTAATCAATTCTGCACTCCGTCTTGCGAGACCCTCCAGTTGCAGATTCGGCAGAGGACTATGAGAGATGGGGCTCGGAGGCGATAGTTGATTGTCGAGGAACTGAAAGAATTGGCAGCTGGAATTATCGTCAAACAAACTGGGCGCCATTAAGTTCAGTTGGGAAAGGTCACAGTGGCGCAGCTCGGAAGCCACGCCTAATCCTTCCTCAGATCGAGAACGCCCTAACTTAAGAGCAGAATGCCGCCTAAAGAAGGTACTGTCCGTTTTGAAGTAGTTTAAAAGAAACGGTATCCTTGTCTTTACCGAATTGTCCGCTGCTGGGTTCAGCGGAGTCACGAAGTTGGTTTGGGTTGCTAGAATACCGCGTTCGGTCCTCGGTTGCGCAGGGCTGTCACAGGACCACTGATGCTTAACAGACTGTGCATCAGCCTCCAAGCGCACATAGGTACACTTCAAACTATCCCGTCTGCATGATCGGCAAGGTATATCCTTGTCACACGCGCGTTTCGCAGCAGCACACTGGTCACACGAAGTTCTGTGCTTACCCCTCTTTTGGGACTGTGGCACGGGCTGGAATCCTCTGCTTCGACATGCTCTCGCGTGACGGCGAGCAGAATCTCTGTGAGAGTCAGTAGAGTAGTTGTAGGGGACGCAGGTCACGCACAGTCGTGAAAATGGCTGTTGACAGAAGTGGCAGTTATAAGGGCGATATGGCAAGTCTACACCAGTCATTAGAAGAAAACCTTAGCCTAAGGAAGGTGGGCTAAGCATCGCACGTGATATCTCATGTCGGCGTAGATGACTTTTGGTCGAGAATGCCGCAGAACAAGTTGGGCACATATGTCGGGAGCCCATATTGCAGGGACAGCTGGCGCCTGAATGCAATGGTGGGAAAATAATGAAATACAGATGTATTATTACTCCGAGGAAGATATTAAAGAAGCCTGATGGTGACCTCTGATAATACCAAATCCAATGTCAAGACGGACGGACGCATGGCGAGCATAACGGCCATGTAGCAAGTATTTCAAAGTTAGTCAGTCAAGTCACCTGATCAATTACTGTACCGATCACCTGACTCTTATATTCACCTGGTGTAATTCTCGCGGGAACTTAGGCCACTGCCCAGGTCCACGGGTGCTCCTAAGTGATTACATAAGATACATTTTACCTACCTAGGTAGTGTAGTGGGGAGATAGGCTCTCCACTACGAGCAGTGCGCATCACCTTTGCCTTTTTACTTTATGTTCCAACCTTGGAAGGTTGTTCATACGTTATGTAAGCGAGCATTGGAATTTTGAGGTTACAGGTAGTAGATAGACACAGATTAAGAATACATACTCCTATACCTCTCTAAATCCACTTCTTAGACAGCTCCGAGATCCTTTTATATATAAGATTAAGTATAAAGCTAAATTACGTATACTAAATCGACCTATATACTATAATTTATGGGATAGAAGTATATAGCCTTAAGCGTTTCCCTCTTTATATAGTAACCAACGTAGGGATTTACTTAGGGTAGCTAAATACGTAACGTACTAAGCGGATTCTTAACCGTCTCGTACTTTCCTGCCAAGCCTCAGCTAGACAGTCACACGGAATGACCAGGAATCAGACCAGAATATGGATTGGATTAGGGCTGTAAATACGGCTATTTTATCGTTATTCTTAGACGATTTCAAGTCCCTGCTATAGTCCCAAGCTTAGTGATACATAAATAACATAATAAGACGGGCGGCTCCATTCCAAAACAGAACAAGGCTGGTTTGTCAATATACTATGAGGCACGAGAGATAAATTAATAACCATCACAACTCCCCTTATACTAGTCTTCATCGTCTCTGATTGCTTCGGTTAAGGCTTTGAAGGTCACTGCAAAAAATCAGTGAGAACAAACTGGCACATTCAATCTATCAAAAGATGGCTCTTTATGGAGCTCTAACCGACAAAGAACAAGCAACCATAGAGGGCTCAGTCTGCCTAGCACAGAGGCATCTCATCTATGGGAGATGGGATGATCTAACAGCTTCTAAAACCTCTCTCCCACGAAGTCAAATAGAGCCTTGCCCACTTCATCCGGCTTCTCCATTGGGGACCAATGTCCGCAATCAATAACCTTGACTGTGAGGTCTGGCAGGAGACCAGACTGTTTGCTCTGGTCAATTAGTGCTGGCAAACATACCTCATCACCGGAACACCCTAAGAAGAAAGCAGGCACGGTAACCCGCGCGCGCCCCGCCGGTAACGCATTCTCAGCATCAAAGTCAAGATTGTATACCATTGGCTTATAGGAGCACATCGCGCTTGTCAACCCACCACCGCCCTGCACGCTCTTGAACCACTCCTCCTTCCATCTCTTCCCCGACTTAGCGTATTCCTTCAACTCGATCTTCTCGTTGCCTTCCAAAAAGCTCCGCATAGCATTCCGTACACAGAATATATCGCGCATCCAATGTTCCCTAGCGCCATGCATCACCTCCCAGAACCTGTCCAAGTGCTCATCCACAAGCAAGGCGCCATCATCTGCAATGAAAAGCTCCCAATAGGCGTACAGCGGATACCCTGTCACTCTTTCGAACTCTGCATTCACAGCGGTCAGGTCAAATGGCTGCGCCGTTGGCGGCTGATACGCAACATTCAACATCGCGATGCCAACGCAAAGTTCTGGCTTCCACAGCCAGAAGCGCTGTGCCAGAATAGAACCCCAGTCATGTCCAATCACCACGACCTCCTGTACACCCTCAATGGCCAGGAGCTCAACCAGGTCGGAGACGATACAAGAGGGTCTGAACAGGGCCTGGTCAGTCGGTTTAGAGCTGCCGCCAAACCCAAGAAGGTCCGGGACGAGTTTTCGGTGCGGGAGGGACCGCAGGTGTGGGACGACCTGATGCCAGAGGTGTGCGCTATCAGGGAAGCCGTGAAGGAAGAGGAGAGTGGTTTGGTCGGCCGAGAGGGGATTGGCAGAGCCAGAGTCGTAATAAGTGTAAGTCAGGGAACGCGAAGTCGTGAAGACCTTTCGTGTATAGTTGTCCATATTAGTGACTTTTTTCGTCCTGGTATAGCTGCTGGCGTTATGGGTGTTTTTTCCAAGGTTATTGCCAGCCTTGGGGTTTTTATATTCTCAGCGTGCAGCCATAGCTTCCTGGTTTGCCGACAACGGCAACAAGTCGTCGTCATCATCCGCCCACGCAAATCCCAATCTCACTATTATTAATTAGGATGATTGGAAATTAAATGGTTATTAACAGGACTGCAAATAAGTTCGAATCCACCGGAGTCTAACTAGCCAATTTCCGTTAAACCATCTAGTAATGAGTAGTCTTGCCGCTTACTAAAGAGACGATAATTACCTAGGTAAGTACATTTCCGAGTATTTATGCCGTACGCATGCAGGTTTTCCTCCCGTATGTTAACTCCGGTGATCGAAAAAGACGAATATTGTTCGAATATTGTTCCACTCTTGTTGTCAGTGATCATCGGTAGCGACTACGGAGACAAACCACCGCCCAAAGAAGGTATTGCGGGTTTATCCCTATTGGCCAAAATGATAAACCCGTACCCACTTATGTGGGTATTCCTGTCCACTTTAGGGTCCGACTTTTGACCTCCTGTTGAAGATTGGCATGGAATACTGAATAGCTGAAACCCGCTGGAAACCCACAACTTATGTTTATCTCTAAGAAAACTGATTATTTGCTTAACTCCGCTCAGCGTCAGAGTTCCTTTTTATGCAATGAAGCGGATTTTGAGGTAAAAGACCTGTAGGTGAGGGGATCCACCGACGCTGATGACCAAGACAGCCATGGTCGACAAGAGATCTCCGAAGTGGACTTGCCCGTACAGCCACGTCTTGCATCAGCTTGCAAAGACGAACAATAAAAAATAATGGAAGCATTGCCTGCCGTGGCATACAGTAAGACGAAGCCAGTCCATCCCAACACTCTACCAAATATACGCACTCTCACCAGCAGCCTGATTTTTGGAGGCTACAGTCATAACAAACATCATGCCCACTGGAAGCTACTAACGCGGGACTGAGGATCGCATGCTAAGGTGACACCTGCAGGTCTGTAGGTAGTTGCCGAGATATTGGATGCGGTATGGTATTTTCCCGATAGGAAAATGTGCCCAGGTGAATATGGCGACTCAGTCAGCATCTGTTTGTCAACGGTGCCTCTAAAGTTTATTTAAGAAGCGTAGCCTCCGATATTGTTACCACCTTAGGTCAGGTGCCAACCGGTTGTCACAGAACAAGCGATTGCGAGAACCATGTCACTATTGTTACTGATCCTCCAGGCTGTCCCGTACTTACATGCGATCACCACTATGTTTTTTTCTGTTACCAGGCCCCAAACAGAAAGACATTGAACCGGAAAGAAATCTTCCCGATGTTCCAGGGCGAATCAATGAACTCCAGAAACCCCTGAGCTAGTAGCACGCATAGCTGACAACAATGTCCAAACTGTCGAACGATACCTTCCGGTGCTAAGGCATACTCTTAGAACACTCTTATGGGACGACTGCGCCCATGTCTCATCGAATGTCGCTTCCGATACCGACCGACCAGCTGTTTAAAGAGGTCTACAGTATGAACAGTCTACTGTCTCGGATACTTATGACCTGTTGAAATCCTCGTTTGAATTATAGCAAGGAGTCGACAGTACCCCAGTTACAAAACAGGGCCTGCTTATGTTGGATGCCCGAGGCATCGCCTTATGAGTACCTAGGTAGAACCTAGATAACTCTCTCTCTCTCCCCCCCCCCTGTTTTTCTTCACTAGTCCCTCTCACTCATTTTCTTCTGTTTTCTCTATTGATTCTCTATCTGTATCGTATCTCCATGAGCCTACAATCATCCGGACTGCATAATGCGAAGATACGTTGCTACTGTTGATATACATGGGATGTCTTTGTGTGCAGACCGAGGCTTTTTCCTAGTTTGTGATTCTCTTTGTTAGCATAGGCTTCATATACAGCCTGCTTTCCATAGATTCATTATCACCTTTCTTCTTCCCGATTTTCCTATGCTAGTATTCACTAGATCTCTAGTATCGTAGCCATTAACAGCTACCTCTAGGCTACGTGATACTACTTTTTTATAATAATGTCAAGAAATGAGATGAAACCGTCTTTGTACCATTTGAACATATGGCTTGTTATTATGCATTTCCTTACCAACTCGGTCTGACCAGAGTGTTAAATACAGACCATTCTTGTTTCTAGCTAGTTAGAGAATTGTACCATTGTGATTTTTGCCGTTCGTCATACAACTGATTTCTGTCAGGTAATAAAAGCTCGTCTCGGGGAGCAGGGTCATTTGAATGATCATTGGCTTCAGCGATAAACCTGCTACATACGATCGAAGTAGAAAAAGCAACTTCCTTGAGACAAACCGCCAAAATCTCCGCTTCAATCGCTAAGAGCGTTGCCCACCTTGTCAACAAACTTCTCAACATCTTCCAACAATGCCTGCGGCTGCTCCCATGCAGCAAAGTGCCCGCCCTTAGCAGAAAAACCTAGGATCAACCACTGCTTTCGAGATGTTTGTAGAGCAATAAAAAATAACTCACCTTGTTGTGTGTACTGTACTGCACCATATTCGGGAAAGCCTTGGCCCAAGCTTTGGGAAGAATCATGACTTCTTTTGGGAAGTAGGAATAGCCAAGTGGTTTCTCTTTGCTTGTATCCGACCCATTGAAGCTTGCTATGTTTCGGTAGGGGTAGATACTGGAAGAAAAGGTGGAGGTGAACCAGTAAAGACTAACGTTGGCAAGGATCGCGTCTAAGGGAGGTTGCTCGTCCGACCACTCGAGGATTTTCTCTCCAATCCTGGATATGGTCAGTATCATATAGCGGCTAATTGATGGTCTCTCGTAAAAAAAAAAAAAGCCATACCATGCAAGAAGCGCCAAAGGGCTTGATGACAGCGCAAGCCCGATGGTTGCCGGGCGCGTACATTGCTCTAGGATGTAAGCCATGCCAGTGGCTTGCCAAGTTTGCATCCGCTGGAGGTGTTCAAGGTCTTGAGTTGTCAAGGGTTCAGTGCTGTCATCAAATCCTCTCAGTGTAAGGAAATTGACTGAAAATTATTAGCAATAAGTAAGGTCGGTCGTCGCACAGATATCACCCTTCTCTGAGGGGCCCTTTCAGCCCAGGCTGACTTACCATGGGCGGCCTTGCACTCCTTTTAGTCTCTCATCAGTATCAGTGACAACATGCTCCCTATATCTCCCCCTTGCGCAACATAGCCTTTGTCAAATCCCAGTTCGATCATCAACTGATTCATGACCTGCGCGGCGCCATCGAGTGAGAATTCCTTCTCATGTCCAATTTCCGCCGATAGTCCATAGCCTGGTAGAGACGGCACGATCACATGGTACGGCAGTGAGTCGGGCGTGTATTTCCTTGATATGATCTCAAGCATTGGCAAAAATTCTAGGAAGGAGCCCGGCCATCCATGCATGAAAAGGATGGGAACGGCATCTGCTCTGGCCGAGAAGAGCGCGACAAAGTTGTTGCGGATGCCTGGTTCCTAAGGCATCGACCTCTCCATAGTCTAGATAACGTATTTCACAAGCGAGCTGCGCACACAAGCGAGCTGCGCACCCCACCCAACCTACTAATTTCAAATGCATTTATCTCAACCAAAACGCCATTAAATTAAATTTAAAAAAAACATTATCTATCTGGACATGCATCTCTCCTATGACCCCGATTTTTATATAGCCCGCATGTTGGTAAAGCCCTAGTTCTTGGCTGTAAAGGTGGCGAAGGCCTTCTTCGTGGCGGGGGTATAGGTGCTTCTATTGCTTCCACCGGCTGTATAATTAATATAGATGCTTCTTAAACTGAGAGGCCTTCTTCCGCCGGTATCTGCCTTCTGGATCTAGTACGCTTTTACTTCTTCTTCTTATTTTCAGCGCGTAAATCGCTTACTTCTCTCTCTAGTAGTGTGGCGGATTGCATTATAATCTAGCAGGCTTTTAAAACCTGGTTTATAGAGGAATTAAGCGGGCTCGGGGGACTTCTTAATCTTATACGAAGTAATGCTTTAATTGATAAAGCTTATTTTTACAATTACATATAGTTCGAGGGCGTTTTCAGATCCTAATCACTACCCCGGCTAGAAGGGGGGGGTAGGGGTAGTAAGCCGGATATTAAACTTCGAAATCACTCTCTCTAGTGTAAAAGGGATTAAACTAGTAGATTAAAAGCTGTTTTTAATAGTCTTAGATTTAAAGGCTTCTATTTATATAGTAGGGTATACTTTAAGAAAATCCAGTTTATTAATATAATTCGATCCGTACTATATTCGAAATTCAACTAGCCGGCTATAGGCTCGTTTTAATACTATAAAATAGCCTATATCTAGAGGCTATAAAAGGTGAGAGGAATACGGAGGTATATAGATTAGTATAATCTTATTCTCTTTACAAATTTTATTAAATCTTAGGGTTAAATGACTTCTATAGCCGTTAAGTATTAAAAGCCGATATACCCCCTTTATATATAAAGAAGTAGTAGGAATAAAGAGCTTTTTAAGCTAACAAATCCTAATTTTATTAGTAGTCTAGCTATTAGGACTAACTTTAAAACGCTAGTTAGAAGGAAGGCTATCGAACTAGGATTTAATAAAGACTTTACCTTTAAAAATCATATATAGCGGAAGAGCCTAGCTAGTAGTATTTATATACTCGATAATAGTTATCTATTCACAATTTCTAGGTTATAAAAGTGCTCGCCGACTATAGTATTCACTTCTTATAATCACCCTTATAGTCGCTATTAATCCTATCGTAAAACCGGTCTTATTAAAGTTATAAATATCGTCCGGGTCGATCCCGAATTATAAAATAGTTTTTTAAATAAGATTAAACCACTCTATAATAACCTTCGGGTCTTTATATTTCGTACGCTTATAGTTATACCGTTTCGAAAACCGAGAGGATAGAAGAGGATATCGTTTTATATAGTTCGTTACCTAATTTTCGCTAACCGAAAGAACCGGGGTAGTTCCGTGTTTTTTAAGAAGAAGATTCGCTATTTCTTATACTATAGATAGCCGGGGAGCTAATCCTCGAGAATCTATAGAGAGAATCCATTTTTTAAAAGATTCCTCTTCAATTTCTATTAGTTTATATAAATTAGCGCGAGAATTCGCGCGAGAAGTGGTCCTATAAAGACGTGTCCGGAGGGTTAATTCGGGCACTTTAAAACGGCGCGCTGTTTCGCGAATAGCGCTAATTTCTTTATTCTTAAAAGCCTAGATAGCTAATAAGATCCTACCCTCTCTCTCTATTGAATCTTTAGAGGATTAAGAGCGAATTGGTGGCATAGTGGGTGGTTGAATTAACTAAGTGCTAATTTACGGACGCGTTTTGGGTGGGTGCGCAGCTCGCTTGTGTGCGCAGCTCGCTTGTGAAATACGTTAGTTGTTGGGAGTTTGCTCCCTCTTCTCCCAATACAACTCTCTCCTCTCTGCATTTCCTGAATCCTACTACTGTAGGCTTCACCAAAAGTGCACACTTAACCGACCGTATTCTGGATTGTCAATTCCAATCTTGAAGTTGGGAAACGAGTTAATATGCGCCTCCTGCTGTCGCCAGTCAAAGTTTCCTATCCATGTGTCCTTAGCTTTGATGAGCCAGTCGCGAGAGATACCGAATGACCCGTCCGTATGCTCATTCCACCACGTCTTGGGCCCGACCTTGGATAGCTCAAGAAGGGCCTTGAAATGCGTGACATCTTGATCAGAGATGTGAAGTGTGAACGCTTCTGGTTTGCCAGGAGCGCTCCGAGGGACTTGGCCGAAACTAGAAGTCATTGGGGCGGTCGTTCTGTCCTGTGAGATAATCAGGAAGTTGGAGAGCCAGAAAAATTACGGGGGGAACGGGATCTTTATATCCATACGGAGTAACCCAGAAGAACATCACGTTGCGTGAATTATTACAGAACGGCCGTCAGAATAGTCCATTCCTGTGTCTAGACCTATGGTGTTTGGGAATGGCCCCCCAGGATCTCCGCAGTAGATTTCCCCTACCAATGAAAATAAGGGTCCATGTCTTGTGTTGTAGTACTCCGTATATGATGTGGTAGGCGGTGACCAGGTGGAACTTAGGTGGAACTAGTGGTACCACGGTTGCCTACTCCTTCGGACCCACTTGAACGTTCTGAACCCGCTATACAGAGTTTACCATTACCACACATTTCCTAATGGGATTATGCCACAATGAGATTTGTCCTTCGGGAATATCCCACAAGATCTAAGCCAAATCCTTCACAATGCAGACCCTAACCTTGGCAGGCTAACCGGAGGTGATGAATCTCTCTTTACCATACCTTATTTAGGTGTTACCATCATCAGCATATCCGGATTCCCTAACTGCTTGCGCTTTAAAGCTTCATAGCCGTCCTATAGTTAGGCCCATTCATTTGAGGGATGGTCAGGCTACCAAGAATTGGTACGCACCGGGTAGTACTGATTGTTTCTACGGCGCTTTTTGTGTTTGCGGTATGGGCGATATGGCTTGGTGTTAATTCAGACAAGGACAACATTCATCCGTTGCTCAATCAACTGATTCCAGCCGGACATTGCGCCTGCCAAACATCAACTGTCTTCCAATGTGACCATTGTCTGCAATGTTCAGCTCCAATACCCCTTCTGTCTTCTGCCGCTTCCACACCGATCGATGACTACAGTCTGAATGCCAAAAACCTTGCCCTCAATGCGTCGCAGTGTCAAGCATTTCTCCCTGGGTTGTTCCAGGACCCTTACCGTGCACAGGATTACTGGACTGATAGAGGCGGAATACGCCTCGTTGATTTGGATAATATTAAGATGGTTGACTCCATGGCGCGTGTGGCCATTCAGGACGGTCAGCTGTATATCGTCCGGGCCCTCTCTAAAGGTGAAGATCACCGCCGCAAAATCCTCGGCATCTTGAGCTCCATTCATCGAGCATTGGTGACAGCACCAGACCCAGCGGCTATCCCCAACACAGAGTTTATCTTCAGTGTGGAAGACAAGCTCGACGACGTTGCCGGTTCGGGACATCCGTTGTGGATGTTAGCACGGAAAGCCACCGAGGAGGCTGTCTGGCTGATGCCCGACTTTGGCTTCTGGTCATGGAATAATGACAACTTGGAGGCCATGATTGGCCCCTTCGACAGGGTTGTCGACCACATTGAGAAGAATGAAGTTCCCTGGCATGAGAGGATTAACAAGCTTGTGTGGCGTGGCAAACTCAGCTTTGCGCCCAAACTTCGACGTACCCTGCTCGAAGTAGCGCGCGGTCAGCCCTGGGGCGACATCAAAGACCTGGAGTGGAAAAATAAGGCGAACTTTCTGAGCATGGAAGATCACTGCAAGTATCGGTTCATCGCACATGTCGAGGGTGAGTGAGACTCGAAAACACCAAGGCTCTATGAACATAGTCGATGTTAATACCCCCTAGGTCGCTCCTATTCCTCGTCGCTCAAATACCGGCAGGCCTGTCGGTCAGTCATTGTCATCCACAAACTGCAGTATATCCAGCATAACCACTATCTCCTCGTATCGTCCGGGCCTCATCAGAACTATGTCGAGGTGGAACGCGATTTCTCTGATTTACAAATCAAGATGCAAGATCTGATTGACCATCCAGATAAAGCCCAAAAGATTGCCGACAACAGTGTGAGTGTATTTCGCGGGCGCTATCTCTCCCCGCGGCGGACGCATGCTACTGGCGAACTTTGTTGGAAACATGGGCCGCAGCTTCTCCGAGCATCAGAGCTGACGAGCTTTCTGAGGGCCTTCGATTTGAGGCTTTTACACTACTCACTTCGGATGAGATGTTGGCTTTTTCTATGGATGCAACACCTGGACGCATTCAAAAAGGTTAGCGGAAAGGGAAACCATTCTCGCGGCAAAATGGAGACGCAGAGAAGGCAGCTTGATATGAGTGCTCTGGCTGAGATAATGGCTTGTGCTCCGCTGAGTTCCCTTGTGATACATGCCATCTTTCACCAATGGGATGAAAGCCCCGAAGTGCAGCCTGGAACTCTGGGAGTCCAGGGTGAAACCATCAAAAAGTCCAACTTAAGCCCAACTTGTTATTTTGAACAATATCGAAGCCTTCTGTGGCTAGCACAAATGGCAATCAGAGCTCCGCGTGGGTTGGGTTAGACATTGCGAGTGCGTGGATGGTCTAATAGAATACCTAATACACAACTATCGCGTTGCCTTATAATCACTAGCAAACTTTACTACACGTTGTCTATTCTTTTCACTTTTTTTGGCCTCTGTGATGATAGACTTACATTAGATATATACATTTTCAGCCACGCTATTCTTGCAATGTCGACAAGTCTTCTATGATACGCCGGCTAATATATTGAGGATTATTCCGAGACAGGGCAGAGAGCTATACTGGATCTGACGCCCTGATCAGTCAATAAGAGTGAAGAAACCAATAAACAACATAACCTACCATTTGTTTTGAAATGATATTGTTGATGCCTTTCGAAACATAGAATAATCAGGCCGCCAGCCTTCCATCACCCTTAATCCGACAACGTCATTAAGAGATCTGCCTGTGCTAAAACAGGATGCGTGCCGAAGTCTGTGGCTTATCTCCGACAACTATGATAAACTGTGGGATATTCCCAATAGGAGAATTCCGTTGACGGAGCTCGGCGACATGTGCGTCTGTGGATTATCTCCGACAACTATGGTAAACTGTGGGATATTCCCAATAGGAGAATTACGTTGACAGAACTCGGTAACCAGAACTCGGTAACATAGTGGGTCTGTGAATTATGGGGCTGCTTGACAAAAAAAATACTTCGACGGGAAGAAAAAGGGAATTCCCTTTGCACAAGTTCCGCGGCTGTGCTGTAAAACTAGTCAGCTACGAACTCTTCTCGGATATTACTGTAGTTCGAATCGTTGTGGTAAGGGTATTCGCAAGAATCGTCTGGCAAATGGATGAAATGCGGTTTCCTGTTAATTGGTGTAATTTGATCCCGGCCATCTACCAAACCCTAGGATCCGCCTACCGCTGTGCAGATCTCTTGTGTAGCTATTCGAGGACAGTGATGACTATGATCCGGTAGAGACCCAACTTGATTCCTATCCCATAGACTAAAAACACCTGTGGTGTTGAAGAACGAGACTATTTGTCGTTTTCTTTCCCGCTTATACAATCGTTACTTTCTTCCAATTTTTTGAATACACAAACCAGTTGATGGACAGCCAAACCAAGCGTTCCGAGCTGCAATTAGGTCGTCAAATACTGCCTATCCGGAAACGGGCGGCAACGGTGCTCCGTAATAGCTATATGCACTACCTAGTCAGCACACCAGTGAGATTCTCCAAGGTTCCCACCCTTAGCTTGTATGATTATGTACCAGCGGCAATGTTACAAGGCAGGCAGACCCTACTTCGGACGATGAACGGACTTAGGACAGCATGTGCACATCATGCGAGAGCCATTCACCAGACAACTAACCCCCTTCACTTATTCAAAGGGGACCAGTTTACGGTATTTGCAATACCAAGACATAGATATCCAACCCACACGGACCATGATTGAAGGGTGGCCGGCCTCGTTTCATTTACGTTGGACTTGCTTGATTTGTATAAGCGTTTTCAGAAGTTGCTACATGCTACTGCTTTTGGACTCGAACCAAAGTGGATGCATGTACAGGGTATTTTTTATCACATAAGAGACGGTTAATATGGTTAAAATACAATCAGTAGATCGGTGTGTGGAGATCAACAGCCAAGACGAAGACGTATGCGCTACTCTGGGTGGGCCAATAACTCCGAATTCTGCACCTGATTTTGTTTTAGTTTGTGCATTTGAGAGGGGCCAGCATTTGAGAGGGCCACGGTTTCCAAGGATTAATATAAAAGGAGGCACGATGATCGTGTTGAGAAATCCCCTTCCATCTCCCAACATCATCAGCCTAGAAGATATCTCATTATTCCATCTCCTACAACCAATACGATGGCTAGCAATCACTCCGCTAAGGTAGCGCTTGTCACCGGTGCGAATGGCATCAGCGGCCATTCCATCGTCGAGTACCTGATTCGGAGACCAGAGACTGAATGGTGGATAACGTGAATGCCCTTGATTTTACGATCATTTAGCTGACATCAATGGTATAGGACCAAGATTATCGTTACATCGCGCAGACAATTGCAGAGCTACTGGGTTGACCCTCGTATTGAATTCATCGCGCTGGACTTTCTGGAATCCAAAGAAACACTCATGCAGAAGATGAAGATCATCTGTCACGAAGTTACACATGTTTATTTTACTTCATACATCCATGACAACGACTTCGACAAACTTGCAGGGAAAAACTGTCCCTTGTTTCGGAACTTTCTGGAAGTTATTGACACAGTGTGCCCTAATCTGGAACGTGTTTGCCTTCAAACGGGAGGAAAGGTAAGCAAGAGCATGGAGTTAGACGAAGGGAATACTACCACAGCTGACCCGAATTTCTTATTCTAGCACTATGGAGTGCAATTTCAAGAATCAACTACACTCCTTGACGAGGACCTACCTCGATATTGTGGTCCCGGTTCGAAGTCAATTTTCTACTATCAGCAAGAGGATGATCTATTCGAGGTGCAGAAACGCAAAAGTACCTGGCACTACAATATCATCCGCCCATTTGGCATCGTTGGGTTCACCCCTCAGTGTTAGTCCAAGACCCAATTTATCAGAAGCCTGTAAATGTAATAAGCTAATCAAAGCAATGCAGTCTCTGGAATGAACGAGGTTGTGCCAGTGGCTCAATATTTCCTTATCTGTCGTGAGCTTGGTGAAGAGCCGAGGTGGCCTGGAAATCTCAGTACCTACCACCATGCTCAGGGCATGTCTTACTCTCCAAGCATTGCTGATCTTACTATCTTCGTTACTTCTCACGACCATTGTAAGGATGAAGCCTTCAACCACGTCAATGGTGATGTCTTGGTTTTTAAGTTTCTCTGGAAACGAATTGGAGAGTACTTTAATGTGGAAGTTCCCAGCTATTCCTCCACGCTAGACGAAAGGAAGTCATTGATCGACATGAAGGAATGGGCTATGGACAAAGCCCCAGTATGGGAACGCATTATTGCCAAGTATGGCGGAAATGTGGACTCGTTTCAGATTGGCGCTTTCGAGTTGATGAACTGGTTTTCTAACCCTACTGAAAAGATTACAACTCCCTATGTGGCTACTTTGAACAAGGCTCGAAAGGCTGGCTGGGGCCGTGTTGATGATTCCTACGACACTTGGATTCGAACTTTACAGTCCTATGAGAACGCCGGAATCTTACCCAACCATCGCCAGTTCCAAAACTGATTTGCGAGGCATGTCATCCCGGAGTTTCGGATGGCTGGAAGACCACGAGACTGATCTCGCACGGGTTGCTATGCATACCGAGGAAGTGAAGCCAGAGTATTTTGTAACTAACGAGGACATTGAATTGAGGTTTTGCTTAGGAGCGAAGCGTGATGTAAAAAAGTAGTAGTCAATTTGGCAGTTTAACTTCTAACTGTTTTTATAGAATTCTAGATTTCGAATCTTTAAGACCTCGTAGCTATATACAAGAGTTGGTGTCCTTGCTGTGCAGCGCTGCTTTCATCCGACGGATAAGTTCAGTCCTATACAAAGCCACTTCAAAACGGTAATTCCGAGCGTGAAGAAAGGAAAGAGCAAGAAAAGGCACAACAAGAGTTGAGATTTCCCGAGTACAAATATAATCGGTATATGCAGGATGATATGTTCCATCTACATACGTGCAATGTGATACACAGATACGTATTTATGTCTTACGTTAAAGAGACAGGAATATTTTCTATCGCTTACTTTACTGTCCGGACCCAAACCTCATTTCGCCCCTGTAGGGCGACTTCCATTCCTAACCTAGATGCCTGGGGCCAATTCAAACATCAGCCTAAATAGCACCAGAAAGGGCGGAGATCATTTATATACGTAATACCCTATTATAAATAAATATATAATATAAACTACTATTAAAGCGGAAATATCTAGTAGAAACCCATTTAGCCGATATAACGGGTCAGAACCGTTCTTACCTCTCTTATCCTAGTCTTAAGTCTTCTCACCTACATCACCCGCACTCACCCTAGAGTGTCGCTTAGGTGCTAAGGGCATATCGAGTGTTAGCCGTGCAGAATATGTGGCTTAAGTACGGCTGAGCGGACGGGAAGCCCTATTTTCCACACCCTATAGTCGTACGTACTAGATTTTATCTAGGTGATAATCATATTGTATTTCTATTTAGTAGAGGGCTAGTGTTGCTTGAAGCAAGTATCAATCCATGGTGGGTTTCAACGTTTGATTGAGTTGTAGGGGTGTATGTGGAAGAATCCAACTCACCTCGGGAAGTGGATACAAGATACAGGGGTTTAAGACTGCGACAGGAGCTAAAGGCTCTAAGTCACCTATTACGAGGTCATAACAATAAAACTGAATATACTCTCCTGCTATAACTTTGCCTCTCGACTGCGTATTGTTACTCTATTTGCTTTTGCTTCCCGTACAGACAGTAATACCTCCCACCACCTCTGGGACTTGTGTCAGTAGCTGGCAATGGTGTTCAATGTCTTCGCCTTCTGGACTTTATACCGTCATATATATAATTTCACACAGTAGCGAGCAACGACTCAAGCGCACTTCAACATATCCACGGCTAGCTTATAAGCCCGTTCTTTCGCTTCCCATTCAAACGTCCCTTCTTTAGCCATCTTATCCCAGCCATGGTTGCACCTTTCCATCCGCTCAGAAATAACGATACGACCCGAGTTTTCCCTCAGCCGAGCTGCTAAATTTTCCGCCTCCACCGCTAGACTGTCATAGGCGGCCGTCACGATCAAAACCCGGCGAGGGAAACGATCAAAGTCGGCATAAGCAGGCGAGATGCGGGGGTCTTTTGGATCGTGCCCATCTAGCATATAGCACCTAGCAAAAAGCCGCAGCACAAATGTCGGAAAAGGCTGACCATTTGGATCAGGTGCAGCTACGGCACTGGGATCAACAAAGACCTCGACTGTCGGATAAAAGGCTACCACAGAAGAAAACGTTTCCGGAGGAAAAATGCAAGAGGAAAGAGCCAATGCAAGATTTCCACCTGCACTAAAGCCGGAGATGGCGACTTTGGAAATGTCGAATTTTGTCGGTTGCCCCAGAACCCAGTTGATGGCGTCTTCGGTGTCGTTTAATGCTGCTGGGAAGGGGTTCTCGGGAGCAAGACGATATTCCACGTCTAGGACAATATAACCTGTCTTTTGACTCATTTGACGACAGAATTCATCGTCGCTGCCGTGGGCAGGAACCACAAATCCACTTCCATGGAAGTTGAGAAGAACGGGAGAGGGCGTTTGCAATGCCTCGGTAACAGGGGGTCGGTAGATATGAACCGTGATGGAATGTTCACGGTTTCTAGATTGAATGAAGATCGTCTCATCTGGATGAGAATTAATGCGCAACTGGTATCTTACCCCTAGTCTTAGGAAAAGGCGGCAATCCGGAGAGTAATTGATGAGAATAGGGACATTATGGAGCCCCGGGGAGAAAGACAGATAAATAGATCATCTAATTAAGAAGATGGCTCGTCCAAGAGTCATTCATGGACACGAAAACGGGGCTGGGAAGGGGCATAGCCAAAGCCCCTGGAATCGCAATACTTACTTTATGCGGTTTAGTGTAGTGGAGAATTACAGAGATCTTGTCAATCTCCAAAAACATCTGTAAAACTGCAGGCATTATCTGCCAACTGGTCAACAGTCAAGGTCTATGCTGCTAAAAATTGTCATCGAGCATTTTGTGATGCTGGCCGTTGATCTGAAACCTCAACATTTCAAAAAATAAAAATAAAAGACAAGTTCAGTGAGCCGCCAGTCCATGACTCTCAACCAGATTCCAGTAGGATTTGGCAATGGATCTACGGGCCGCCTTTCCAATTTTAATCCACAACAAGCAAGCACTCCAGACAATCACTCCCAACACGGCGATCAGAATAAAGGTATTCTGCAGGCCCATGCTCACGATCATTGGATTGACCGCGTATGCAAATGCGAAACCTAGCAAAGAATGGTCAGCGTATTGAATATATTTAATCGATCTGTAAAGGTATTTCAACCCACCAATTGTGTTGCGAATCAATATAACAGTCACAATTGACTCTCCCGCGAGTTCCTTCTGACTGTCGATAATGTAGGTGATGGCTAGACCAGATCCCATGGGAAGGGTGATGCAGATCAAGGCAATTCCGATGACAACTCCAATCCAGGGAATGTGATGACTTGCCCCAACGCCATAAAGAACGCAGCCGAGAGGATGAGCGACGAGGGGAATCAAAAACATCCAGAGACGGTCTTCGGGCTCCTTGATACCTTGTCTTCTTCTGGCTAGTTTAATCGCAAGGATATCGCTGAGCCAGCCGCTGAAGTAGCATCCAATCGAAACACCTATCACACTGGCGAAGTAGGTAAGACCAATCTCCTGTGTCGTAAAGTTATAGGGGAACCGCCCAGCACTTCCGCTAAGGAGCCTCCTAGAACATTGTACCAGGCGAGAATACTGCCCACTAGAAGACCGGAAAATATGACGGTGGGGAAGCATAGAAGTCGGAAGGAAAGGAAGATTGACCGAAAAAAGTTGAATGGTTGAGAAGGATGTCTTAATCCCCACAGCTTCAGCTTTTGGGCGTATGTTTTAATTTTGTAAGTCTCTTCGGCAACCACAGGAGTAACACCGGGACTCTCTGGCTCTTTGGATTCGGAGACCATTTCCCCGTCAGTACAATGTGAGGCCTCAAGAGCGACAGTGTCTTTCGGCGTGGAAAACATCGGTTCCTGAATATTCACTTGGCGGAAGAACATCGTCTCTTCAAAGCCGAAGAACGTTGCGACTGTGAAGCAGAGACATATAATGGCCAGGATGTACTGGATCCATCTCCAGCCCATAGCCTCAGCGACAAAGCCACCAGCGATAGGTGACAGGAAAGCACCGCACCACAACGTCCAGTTATAAACACCCATGTGGAAGCCTCGGTCATGGGCAAAGTGGATATCCGCAATGCAAAGCTCGATCAAGGCTTCCTGGGGGGGGAAATGAAAATGCCAAGAAGAATTCGATTGGCGTACCATTCACCCACGGACTTCATATACGCAGACCAGACCTGCAGCAGCGATGACACAAGCATGCCAACCAGCAGGACCGGGCGACGACCAAAGTCCTGTGCAAGGTTTTGGGTCAACAAGGTACCCCAGCCCATGAAGAGATACATGAGGCCGTTTCCCGTGCTGAGATCCGCCACAGAGATACCTGTATCTTCGGATATCAGGAGGTAGGATGATGATAAACCACTGATGAGGGCGGCAGCGAAGAAGCACCAGGCCATTTGGCACGTGCTGTTCAGGATTTTCCGGTAGCGCGACCAATTGAGAGGGTCATCAAGATGGGAGCTTGGACGAGGAATCAGGACAATATCCTCTTGCTCTTTATTGTTCAGGTACAGGCTGTGGTCTAAATCCACCTGTTGGACGGTTCCCGGGATGGGTAGGGGATCGTCCATCTTTGCTGTTAGGTCAAGGCAATTCCGGTCACCAATATACTCAGCGTATATATTGCTGCGGTAGTCAGTTTCGATTGATGATCTTCGAGGTTCTCAGTCAAACTCAAGGTTTGAACCCAAGACCGATGACTCTGTTAGAGGAGATCAGCAATGTTCCAGAACAGAGACAAAGACAAATGATTTCGCATACGCAAGAATACGCTTAGGGTCTGGAGCTCTTGGGTTTAAAGGGAGAAGAAAGGAAATTGACTCTCTTAATGTGTTTCTTATCTGACTTTTCCAACTCCTTTATAAAATCCGGCATTCAATTAATCACTAGGCTGATGGGAACGTCTTATCATACACAGCTGGAGAACCAGGGCAAAAATAAACGTTTGAGCCGGTGGCTAATAAGCTCTTGAGACCATGTTGGTATCAAGAGTGCAAAGCTGCCAAGTGATACCCCGCGAAGAATGGTCCACTTCCCTTTCCACCTAACGTTATCACCCAAAATACTGGTGTAGTTGGTCGATTAAGGTTAACGAACGTTCGGGATTTGAGTCATTATTGATACCAAGAGTTTAATCCAGATACGAGCTGAGAGCCAGTCGGATTCTCCTTTCGGTTCGACTCCAAATTATCCCGGTATCCGACCCGTGGCCAATCAGAATTTACTGCGGGGAATTCAAGGTCATTTGGGGTAGTTGGGGTACTTCGGAGATAATGTGGAATGTGGTTCTCAAACTCCAATGACTTACATGGCTTATCTTCAGTAAGGGAACAGAACAATAAATTTGTAGGTGATCTCAGCAGAAAAGCGTAAATTTATACTCGAATACGGAGGAGCTGTATCACGTGAAATTGTGTTATACAATTCAAGTAACCATGAAATAAAGTCTATTGAGCTATATATATCTAGTTATCAGGAAAGTAAGCCTTGTTAAAGGTGTCGACAGCGGCTCTTGTCGCCTTCACTAGCTCCAGGCACCCAGGAACATCGGAATGACAACAAATGGACACGGGGTAATCCTTGACGGCTAATGCACATGTCGATCCATCAATTGCAGGAGCAGTGCAAGATTCCATCTGCTGAGTTACGCGTTGACGGACCTCGGCAAGATCCCAAGCCCTGTAACCAAGGCAAAAACAACATTAGACCACGCGTGCAAAAATAACCTTGGAAGACAAAAGAAATGACTTACTTCTTTTTGCGCTCGATCACAAGGGAAGCATCCGCATTGTACTTGACATCCGCATAAAACTCGGCAACGAACTCGATCCCCAAATCTCTGGCAGCCCGCTCCATACAAGTACCTGGAAGTCCAAACACCTTGACGCCCTTGGGGATGCCCTTGAAGACAGCCATTGAAGTATCGTAGTCTCTGCAACACATGCCATAGAGCATGCCGTGGGGCTTGACGTGGTGAAGGGGGACTTCCTCCTGGTCTAGAAACCCCTTGAGGGCCCCAACCTGGTAAACAGTGATTGCAGTAAGTTCGTCTGTCGTGAGTTTCATCTCTCGTCGACCGAAGCCCTGGAGATCTGGCAGGCCGGGGTGTGCTCCAATCTTGACGCCGTGTTTCTTGCAGCTGCGAACGGTTTCCATCATGATGAGGGGATCACTACCGGAAGAGATGCGTGTGAGCTAGATGCTATCATTGCCTTGTTGTAAATCTGCGTAATATTGGCAGCGACCAATTTGCCGTCGCAACTCTGGGACTTAGACAGAGAAAAGATGGGGAAGACATACGAGGCATGAAATCCACAGGCAACATTGGCATGGTCAATGAACGGAAGCAAGTCTTCATCTGAAGTGATTGTCCAATTTCCAAAGCCCTCTCCTAGGTCAACATTGATCAGAGCTTTGTTCTTGATAGGTCCCATAATGACAACTGGTGCTGGTGGTTTGCTATGAGTGATATTCGCAGTTGGAGAAGAGTGAGGGGTGAAGGTTGTCTCAGAAGTTCTTCAATTTGGTAATCGGGGTTGGATCAAATTCAAAATTCGTTTGGATTGGACTCGAGAGGATAATAAAAGAGAAAAAGGTAAACAAAGTCCTTGGTGGAATATTTTATTTGCCCGACTTATATTCAACCTTGGAGATCCAACTTCCGGAGCTGACCCGGCTCGGAATTCAGTCATTTCCTGCATTATCCGGGACCAAATTAGTTTCTATTTGCCGACGATCTCTAACGATATTTAATGATGTAACTGGTGTAAAATAGTGGACATCACACATTGCGATCAAAAAACAGTTTATCTGGTCTTGGAAGATGCCCGGAAAAGAGTGGAAGGCGATCTGACCCAAGGCACGGTCTCTTACATGGTATACAAGAAATTCTATAATTTGCATGATTAAACCAAGAACTTGATTTGTTATATAAAAAACAGACACATGTTCACTAGCAATGCTAAATCGATGGATGAGTTGACCCGGCACTTTCAAAAATACTACCGGGACCATTTGAGAACGTAGGATCACTTCCATCAAGGAGCCCCAAAGTCGGATACCAAGGCATATAATTGAGATTCACCTGGGAAAATTGATTGTCCCACCACATTGACCAGGCATCAAATTGAGTGTCCTGTTTAGCCTCACCAGCACTGGATCGGTTGAGATCCAAGAGATCAGGGTGTTCAAGATCAGTTCCAGCCTGCGCATCTTGAGAGGAATATTGTGGTATCAATGGCTGTGCTTCCTGAGAGGATTGAGAGGCATCTACGTGTGTTTTTGACGGGGTTGCTAACGGGATTCTCATGTTACACGCTTTCGGCGTGGTTGGTTGGGCTAGGCGCGACTGGAGTCGTTGAACAAGGTTTTCGAGAAGATCGCCCCAGCGCGTGCTCAAGTGCGTATCATCGACTGAAGAGTTACGAAGGCCAACAGCCACTTGCCGGACCAGATCAAGAGACGTGGGGATGTCAATTTCGCTAATCCCGGCTGCGCAGCACTGATTTCGCTTGTTAGAGCGATGAATCCAAGAGAAAGGAACGGGCAAGAGAAAATGAAAGAAAAGTCACTTACCTTGAGAAGAATCAATGTCGCTCCAAGGAGTCGGGAGTATGATCGAACTGGAATATACCTTAAACTTCCATGAGGAAGTAGATCGTCGAGAGCCGTTCTTAGTATAGCCCGAGCGGCCCTAACAGTCCCTCTCAGATGCTTCTCCTCCTCTGTTGAAGTACCCTCAGAACAGCTCTCTAGTCTGCCACTGGTGCTCTCACGGCAATTTCGGTTGATTACAGCTTGCAAAACGACACTCAAAATGCAGAGTTGGGCATACTCGTACTCAATGGTCAGGATATACCGCGTTTGCCTCGCCACTAGACTCAAATCAGCGTCGATTCACACAGCCGCGGGGTTGATACATACGTTTGGCGTGATCAAACTCAATGATCGATTCATTTAGAAGTGGCTCAAGTCCGCCAACAATTTGAAGGTACTGTCCATTGCGAATAATGTCCGCTGTGTACCTTGGCGACACGAAGAGAAGGTCGTTTGCATTCTTCATAATAGTTGCGACGCGCATCCAGCATTCCGTTGCATCGTCATTCTTAACGCCGGGGATTTTCGTTGGGGCGCATTGCATTGGATTTCTTCGCCCTACAGTATTACAGAGTGTTTATTAGCGTGAATCCTTTGAAACGGTGGCGTCAGAACTGTCTGAGGATCGGGATACCTGGTCGACCCGGGTGCTGTGTCGCATAAACCCATATCAAGCACCGTATACGGTAAAATCTCTCCTGGTCACGAACAACCTTCGAAGGATCGTGCCGAACTTCATCCCCTTGCCAGAAGGAGTTATCATCGCAGAAAATGCCCATCTCGGTTGCCAGCAGAAAGACAGTGGAAAGCATGGACTGACATAGCCGATCTGACCGAGCGAGCCAGTCGTGTCCGGACCCGGGCCCATAATATCCAGTAGAAGCGCTCTTACGCGGTCTTTTTGGCTCCTGGATCACGATTGACGACGTATCCTCGTCAGGGGTGGGAAGTGGAGAGCCCGAGGATGCCAATCCAGCAGCAGCAACAACGCCTCGCATGTTCCTAACGTGCGGAACCCATGTGACCAACTGTCCGTATATGCCGCCCGTGGCCCCTTCCCAGAGCCATAAACAGAGTCTTTCAGTGAAGGGAATTCACCTACGAACAAGTCCTCTGACCAAAACAACCGTGAAATCATTCCCTGTAGATATCTCCAGAGCCGGTCATGAACGATATAGGAACGTGCGACTGCAGCCGGTCCTGTCCATTTTCGGTACCGCGATCCAATCATCAAAATGGCGATGGTCAATATGGGTTCCTCCTCGATCATCGTCGCGTGCTGGGAATGATCACGGAAGCATTCCGGCACCACGGGCGAGAAGGCTGACTGGAAATTGTAGAAATAATCAACCATGTCCAGCGCTTCTTCTGCCGTGAAAAGCCCACCACGAACAAAACGCAGTTTGGACCAAGCGCACAGGGCCTCGTTGGCGCCTTTGTTGGTGCTAGTATCGGTATGGGTGCCAAGAGAGGAGCCGATGGGCTTCGTTCTCAGGCCTGGGGGGTGGTTGGTCGAGCCGTTGCGAGCCTCAGTGTGCTCATAAGCCTCTGATAGCAACGTCAATGCGTCATGGTAGGTACGGGGTTGACCCTCGAGCAAAGCAGCTGCAGCACGTCCATCTCTCTGGAAGGTTTGACTCTCTTCTTGTACAACCGGAGTTGGGTTGCGAGGCAAAAGTGTCGAACTAGAAACATAAGTCGACGGTTGAGACCTATTTGATTCTTGAAGTAGAGGTGATTGTGCTTTTCGCTTTGTCGAAGTAGTCTTTCTTATTCTCGACGCTGCAAAAAAGCATTGTTTGCTCTCTCTGCGGCATCGCGAACAAGGTGGTTTGTTCGGACAATCAGCCGATCCCAACTCGCAGCGCACCTTTTTCTCCCGACAAGGCTCACAAGCCTGGCACAGCGTCAGAGATGGATCTGGGCAGAAGTACAAAATGCGGGGGAGGTCAAGGCCCACATACCTGATACACCCGTCTATGCTCCCTCGTGTTAGAAGTCGACATGGAAAGGGGGAAGTAAGCCAAAAGATCCGAAGCGGGGATATCCCCTTTATGAAGGAAATCCCGAGATAAGCGGCGATTTCCAGCCAGTCGGATGGGCAATTACCCCAACGCTCGGAGTTGACCCGTGGAGGTTGGAGATATGATAAGCTTATCTGGAGAACCTCGGTCACATTCAAATAACTAAGGAGATATTAAATTGCGATTCCCCGGAATTTGGTACGATCAATGCTGTCACAATGGAGAAACTGAAGACCCTGTTGATCGCGAATCGCGGTGAGATCGCCGTTCGCATCATCAAAACAGCCAAGTAGGAAACAGGCCCATTATCAGAACATTTGAACCCATCTAACTCCCATGCAATAGAGAACTAGGTGTCCGTACAGTTTCAATTTACACTACCGCCGACGCAACTTCACAGCACGTCCTGGCGGCCGACGAGGCAGTCCTACTACCAGGGGACGATTCTACCGCATATATCAACGGGTTTGTTCTCTGTCACCAAAAAATGCTTCCTTAACCGAACTGACAAAATTATCGCTCAATAGAAATGCAATCATAGAGATCGCCCGTTTCCATGAAGTCGACGCCATTATTCCGGGCTATGGATTCTTGTCGGAAAATGTGGAATTTGCCCAAGCTGTCGCCAATGCCGGGATGGTCTTTGTGGGCCCCAGGCCCGAAGCCATTGAAGCTTTCGGGCTGAAGCACCGGGCTCGTGAGATCGCTGTGGCAGCCGGTGTTCCAATTGTTCCCGGGACACAGGGCCTGCTTGTTACAGAGGACGATGCGGTGGAAGCAGCAAATACATTAGGATACCCTGTACTCCTCCCTGTGACTGTTTGCTGCGGGGAAATCTGCTAACCATGATTCTAGGTCATGCTAAAAGCCACAGGTGGAGGTGGTGGTATGGGGTTGATGATATGCAAATCAGTGGAAGAAGTTCGACAGTCTTTGGCCCAAGTCCGCTCCCGGGGAGAAACCTTGTTCAAGAATGCAGGGGTGTTTATGGAACGTTATTATTCCGAGAGCCATCATATCGAGGTCCAGGTGTTTGGTAACGGTCTGGGAGACGCAATTCATATCGGAGAACGGGAGTGTTCAATCCAACGTCGGCATCAGAAAGTTGTCGAAGAGTGCCCCAGCCCGTTCGTGGAAAAGCACTTAGGTCAGTAGCCGCTACGCTATGATGGCTTATACGCCGCCGGCTAATTAGAATCAGGTCTTCGTGAGAAACTCACCTCTGCAGCCGTTGCTTGACCAGATCCATTCGCTATGGATCTGCAGGAACAGTGGAATACCTCGTTGACGACGTATCGGGAGATTTCTTCTTCCTGGAAATGAACACTCGTCTTCAAGTTGAGCATGGTATTACTGAGCTCTGTTACGGACTGGATTTGGTAAAGCTCATGCTTCAACAAGCCGACCGGGAGTTATGCGGCCTCGGAGGTTTGGACAAAAGCTATCTGGAGTCCTTACAGCCAGACCAGCCTTCAGGCTGTGCAATTGAAGCTCGCGTGTACGCAGAGAACCCTGCTCGGAATTACGCCCCATCTCCTGGATTGCTCCAACATGTTGAATGGACAGAGCTGAGCGGCACTCGAATTGATACATGGGTCAATACCGGAACTCGTATCTCCACGTATTACGGTCTGTGGTTTGTGTCAATATTTCTCTTGTGGACTTAGGCTGACTCGGTAATTCTAGACCCTATGATTGCAAAGGTGATGGTACACGATTCCAATCGCACAGCGGCCATTGAGAAATTAGGAGAGGTCCTCTCCTGCTCCAAAATCTGTGGACCACCAACAAATTTGCACTTCCTGCACGCCATTGTTCAATCCAGTGCATTTGGCACTGGGCGTACTTTGACCAATTTCTTGACCAGCTTTGAGTTCAGCCTAGCTGCGATTGATGTCATATCACCAGGTGTGTATACAACGGTACAAGAATATCCAGGACGTCCAACAGCTGGACGGGGAATTCCACAGGCAGGGCCAATGGTAAGCTGAACTTCCTGAACTTTCAAGACTATTCATGAGCTTACATCTAGATATCAGGACCCTTTGGCATTCCAAGGTACACACAGACCCTTCTTTATTTCCTTTCTCCCACGCACAGAGTTCTGATGATACACTTTGCTTGCAGTTGCCAACCTCTTGGCTGGAAACCCCTCCAGCACCGAAGGATTGGAAATCACATTAGAGGGGCCGGAGCTACGCTTCTTAGCTCCTGCGTGCGTATCTGTCTGTGGTGCTCCAATGGACATGACACTTGACGGGACCGACGTCCCAATGTGGACACGACTCTATATCAAAGCAGGGCAAAGATTATCTATCGGGAAGCTGAGCGGATCGGGAGGCTGTCGAGGTAGGATATCGTCCATGCTACGGGTTTATTTTGCTAACTTGCTCATAGCATATCTTGCTGTTCTTGGAGGATTCCCGGCTATGTGAGCTATACATGGATTTTGCATCTTGGCTTCAGAACTAATTGTCTATGCAGTGCCCCATACTTTGGGTCAAAGTCGACATCTCCTCTACTCGGAATTGGTGGGTATCAAGGAAGATCGCTCGCTCCCGGTGATATGCTGGCCATTGCAAAGCTCGATGCAGCTGAGACAGGGCCTGATGTCTCACTGCCCTCCCATTTGCGCCCTGTCTACTCCCGTCACTGGGACATTTATGCCATGGTCGGGCCGTACGATGAGGGTTATATTGTATCCGAAGATATCGACATGATCTATAACACAGTCTGGTATGTCGTGCCAGCAGTAAAGGCGGGAGGGCTACCAAGGTGCGCTTCTAACTGGTTTATTTCAGGAACGTTTCGCATAATGCTACAAGAGGTGGCATTCGCCTTGTCGGGCCTGCTCCTAGATTTGCAAGGGAAGATGGAGGTGAGGGTGGGCAACACCCTAGCAATGTGATTGAATATGGGTACCCTACCGGAACATTGAACTGGACGGGAGACAGGTAAGTCCCAGTTGCGAATGTCACTGGCAATAATCTCACTGGCTGAATTAACATTTCCAGTCCTTGTATCTTCCCGGTGGATGGCCCTGATCTCGGCGGCTTTATTTCTTCCACTACAATTGTGAAAGGCAGTTTATGGCGTATGGGTCAACTGAAATCTGGTGACACGATTCAATACCGCAGAGTATCTTTGAAAGATGCTCTTCGTCTCCGCGCTAAAACGGACAAGTTATTGGAAAATGTGTCGGCACTTGTAGCCGGCCAGTGCGATCCAGATACCATCGAGCCAATTTCTGATTCGGTGCTGCCAGAGTCAACCATCTCTGGCAATTGGGGGAAAGCATTGGTTTACCGCACTGAGCTGGGTGAATCCGGAGTTGATATGACATTCAGACAGGTAAGTGAGAGTCCAGGCTACTACAGCTATTGGTTTCTAATTACCGTTGGCAGGGTGGGGATGAGTTCTTGTTGGTTGAGTTTGGTGATGGGAAATTTAATCTCAACCATCGTTGCCGAGTTACGGCGCTGGAGCAGGCTTTCAGCAAGTCCCAAGAGTCATCCGAAGCTTTGAGGCAAAGTGTCTATAAGACCACTGGATGCTGCAACTGTCAGTTTCCTTGTCCAGCGCTATCAATCCTTGACCTAGGCTAATTATTGGTCGACTACAGCACTCCTAATCCACTATGACGGTTTGAAGTTCTCCCAGGACAGACTTATCGACCTTTTGGTATCTCTTCAAAAGACCGTCGGCGATCTCAGTAATTCCAAGGTCCCGAGCCGCAAGTTCCGTCTTCCTATCTGCTTCGAGAGTCCAGCTCAGGAGCAAGCCGTGCAACGGTACATGGAGACACAAAGACCACATGCTCCATATTTGCCGAGTAACATGGACTTTGTGGCTAAGATCAACGGAATCACGCATGATGAATTGGTCGAGATTTTCCTTTCAGTGGAATTTATGGCTATTTGTGTCGGGTTCTTCTGCTGTGATACTATATGTCTCCCGGTTGATCCCCGCTATCGCTTAATATGCCCCAAGCAGAACCCTAGCCGAGTGTATACCCCAGAGGGAAGTGTCAGCTGGGGTGGATCATGCATGAAGTAAGCCTCTTCCCATACTGTTGTGTTGATAAAAATTAACATGCTACTTTTAACAGCATCTATCCCGTTGATTCCCCTGGGGGATATCAGATGACTGGCCAAACCATTCCCTGTTTTGACCAACTGGGAGTCAAACCGGATTTCTCGCCCAGCCAACCGGGCCTGTTCCGTGACTTCGACCAGATTACCTTCTACCGAGTAAGGAAAGAAGAGCTTGAACGTGATATGGCTCGTTTCCGCTCTGGTTGTTACAAGTTCCAGTACGAAGATGTTACTTTTGATATGGTTGCCCACAACCGTCTCCTTGAGGAGACTAGAGACGAAGTAGCGGCGTTGAAGACTCGCCAAGCCACATCACAAGTAGAAATGTTGGCCTTGGAAAAGGAATCTATGGATAGGTGGATGGCCGAGAAAGCCCAGAACAACCTTCCTGCCGATGAAATTTCACTCCTGAGACAAGGTGAGCTCCATAGCTTACAAACAAATTGGTCATTCTAGTTCACTAACAGGATATAACCAGACCCTGACATTTTGACATTATATGCCCCCCTCGATGCAAACGTGTGGAAAGTCAACGTTGCAGATGGCGATGTCATCTACACTACTAAAGTTGTTGCCATCCTTGAGGCGATGAAAATGGAAGTCGCCGTCTCTTACGATGGGGACAAGAACGGTATTGATAAGGATTACAGGATTGAGAAGGTTCTCGTCCAGCCAGGTGATACTGTTCGGGCCGGAGATGCGCTTGTATTCCTCAGAAATAAGTAATATGATGCTCATGCAAACAACTATAACGGGTCCTTTGGGGGCTTTCTCATTGGCATTCAACTGTCAGAATGTCCAGAAGAATCGGAAAGCGCAGATAATTTGAGAACAATGGATTTATCACTCCTTGGTACTCCTCGTCACACAAACTCGCTGAGCATTTCTAACTCGTTAAACTTGGAATAAAACTGGAAGGTCTCAGACTTCGTCGAGACTTCGTGTGGAAGAAATAGATAATACAATCTGGACTCCCTTTAGATCCTTTCAAATCATAAATCTAGTGTTTCCAGGGTTCAATCTTACTGTAATCTCCGGATGGTCTCCTAAGGTTGCCAGGAAGTAAAAGTTCGTATGTTGTCGGGAGTGAGAATATGTTTTCAAGGTGACACGTGGTCTACCAGGCAGTAGACACTCGTCCAACAGGTCAATTGCAATGGACTCCTTCGTAAATCTTGATATAAGATCAAGGACCTTCATCTAACTAATCCTTGAAAGATGACGTCATGCTCGTATTCATGAGGCCACTGTCTCCGAGAAGCCTGCATAAAAGTATAATTTTGATCAGCGTCGGTGCCAAGTGTTGATGTACATGAGGAATAGAATTAAAGGTACAATCTCGGTGAAATTTAAGGTGAAATATCGAGTGGATCTGATGTAACACCCGAGCCAAGGCTAGAAGTAAAGTTCAGCCAAGGCCAATCATCCCCAAGGTGGCTTCCATGGGACTGAACTGTCAAATGTCCGGAACGAATGGGGAAAGGTCAACTTTGGAGGGCACTGATCCTTTCCCCAATTGGATATTCATGTTGCATTCTTAGTACACTTACGGAGTACGGAGTAGACATATATAAATAGCGTCCTTGTACAACATAAATTTGTTCTAAATGCCCAGTATCTATCAAGGGATAACTAAGAATCCTGCCTAGGTCATTGGCAATCTTTTTTTATCTTTCAATTCTCACAGTCCGTGAGTCATGGGTATCCCACGTACCTGGGGAGGTGTCTTTGGTGGACTGTCTGCATTTTGTGCTATCGCCCAGGCGCAGACATCCTCTCCTTCGCCAACCTCCTCTCACTCGGCTCAGTTCACTGTGCCCGCTGAAGCAAATATAGCTCCTGCCGTGATTCCCAATATCAAGGACCCACAGGCAGTGGATGCACAGACCGTCTGCCCAGGATACACTGCTTCCAATATCCAACAGACCGCCTCTGGCTTCACAGCTTCTCTTTCCCTCGCGGGAGATGCATGCAATGCCTACGGTACCGATATTGAGGCTTTGAGCCTCACTGTCGAATATCAGCGTGCGGATCGACTGCATGTTGCGATCGTGCCAACCCACATTGGCGCTGAGAACGCAACCCAGTACCTTATTCCTCAGGGTTATCTGGCCGAACCCGAAGTCGAGGAGCCCAACGTCATCTCTGACTTGGAATTCTCCTGGACTAATGACCCAAGCTTCGGATTTGAAGTGACCAGGAAGTCGACAAAAGATGTTCTTTTCTCCACCAAGGGAACAAGAATCGTCTTTGAAAACCAGTTCGTTGAATTCAAGAGCGCTCTTCCCAAGAACTACAATCTGTACGGATTGGGTGAGTCGGTCCATGGGTTCAGACTGGGAAACAACTACACCAAGACCTACTATGCGGCAGATGCTGGCGCCACAGTCGATATGTAAGACCATTGCACTTTATTCTCGAAATATCTGCTAATAAAGCTACAGCAATGTCTACGGCGCCCATCCTTTCTTCTTGGAGACTCGTTACTTTACGGAGGGTGCTGATGGCAGTCTCACGCTGGTAGAAAGCGACGACACTACTGAAAACTCCAACTACACATCTTTGTCCCACGGAGTGTTTTCTCGTAATGCGCATGGACAAGATATCTTGATGCAGGAAGACAGCATTACTTACCGGGCTATTGGTGGCAGCATCGACCTATACTTCTTCCCAGGTCCGAGTCAGCCAGAAGTGACTAAGTCATACTTGGCTACTGTCGGTTTGCCTGCGATGCAGCAATACTGGACCTTTGGCTTCCACCAATGTCGGTGGGGATACACAAGCTGGGCAGAACTTGAGGATGTCGTGAACAACCACACACACTTTGACATCCCACTGGAAACTATTTGGTAAGTGACCTTACTATCTGACTCTCTACCATGTCCCAACAGACAAGTAAAGGCAGCCCTGACTGACATTGTTTCTTCCAGGACTGATATTGACTGGATGGTTCGTTACCGCGACTTTGAAAACAACCCTGTTGGATTTGATGACGAGTCAAGCAAGGGCTTCATTCAGCGCCTCCATGACAGTGGTAGGCACTATGTTCCAATCATTGATTCGGCCATTTATATTCCTAACCCATCGAACCCGGATGACGCGTAAGTGCTTAGATTCCCTTACACACTAAGTTCCATAAGCTTACTTCCTCCCAGATACCCTGTCTTCGAGCGAGGAAATGAAACTGGTGCTTTCCTGACGAACCCAGATGGCAGCCTCTATGTCGGTGCTGTCTGGCCAGGATACACCGTCTTCCCTGACTGGTTGGCCGAGGGCACTGAGCAATGGTGGATTGACGAGATGGTCAGATACCATCAGATCACCGGGTATGATGGTGCATGGATTGACATGAGTGAAATCTCTTCCTTCTGCGTTGGAAGCTGCGGAAGTAACAACCTCACCCTCCAGCCTGTGCACGTTCCTTTTGCTCTGCCTGGAGAGCCTGCAAACCCGGTTCTTATCTACCCCGAAGGATTCGATAAAACCAACGCCACTGAAGCTGCCTCTGCTTCAGCAGCACGCGCTTCCTGGTCCAGTGCTTATCCGACCAGTTCGGCCACCTCCTCCACTTCTTATGTTCGCACCACCCCTACCCCGGATGTTCGTGATGTCAACTACCCTCCCTACACGATCAACAACGTCAAGGGTGCCTTGGCCGTTGGAGCTATCTCGCCCAACGCAACCCACGCAGACGGCACACTCGAATATGACATGCACAACCTTTGGGGTCATGGTATCCTCAAGGCTACATATAACGCCCTCTCTGCTATTTCTCCCGATGCGCGCCCCTTCATTCTCGGTCGCTCAACATTCGCCGGTTCCGGATCATACGCCGCCCACTGGGGTGGTGACAACTGGTCCAACTGGCCTAGCATGATCCTTTCCATCCCTCAGGCTCTTTCCATGTCGCTACTGGGAATTCCCATGTTTGGAGTTGACACCTGTGGATTTGCCGATAACACCGATATGGAGCTGTGCAACCGCTGGATGCAACTGAGCGCTTTCTTCCCCTTCTACAGAAACCATAACATCATTGGTGCTATCAGCCAGGAAGCATACAGATGGTCCTCCGTTATCGACGCGAGCAAGACGGCTATGGCTATTCGATACCAACTTCTGCCTTATATGTACACGCTCTTCTACCACGCGCATACAAAGGGTGAGACAGTCATGAGGGCTCTCTCATGGGAGTTCCCTCGCGATCCATCTCTCGCGAATGCGGACCGCCAGTTCATGCTGGGTCCGTCTATCCTTGTTATTCCTGTTCTCGAACAGGGTGCAACATCCGTGAACGGTGTTTTCCCTGGCCTTATCGAAGGCGAGGAAGTCTGGTATGACTGGTACAACAATACCGCCGTCCCTGTGCCTGCCCAGGCCAACACAACCATCCACGCGCCTCTCGGCCACATTCCAGTCTACGCTCGTGGAGGATCTGTCTTGCCCCTTCAGCAGTCTGCCCTCACCACTAGAGATGCACGAAACAGCCCCTGGGATATCCTGGTCGCACTGGACAAGGACGGTAGCGCAACTGGAAATCTCTACCTTGACGACGGAGTCAGTGTTACACCTAACGCCACGCTTCATGCGGAATTCAAAGTTGAGAACAGGAAGCTTGAAACCATCATTGAGCATGGCGGATGGGTTGAAGAGAACAGTCTGAGAAACGTTACCATTTGGGGCGTTGAGAAGACGCGCACCCTATCAAGTTCAATGGAAAGGCTGTGCCCCCCAAGAACGTCCACTTTGATGGTGACAAGAATACCTTGGTCATTTCCGGATTCGATGTCTCTGCTTGGGCTGGAAAGCGTTGGTCTCTGGAATGGTAGATCCAAATTGAATCATACTATTGGTGGAGGCCTGAGGGGGATTGACCTCTGACTCCTCTTAGAACGGTATCTGGCTATTTTAGCCAGGTAAGAAGGTGGATGTTGGTAGTAGATAGGCTTGAATCATATGAATACTTTTTTAGAAACAATAATTCAAGCAGTTGGGATATTCGATCATTTCCAGTGTCTCTTACACATGGTCTCCAGTATTACGGCATTACAGTTATAGATAGTAAACATCGTGGAAATAGCCCATGGCTTTGGTGTATAAAGCCAGGATGAAGCCGTCAAGATATGTATGCAGTAGCCTGACTGTTGTAAAATGATGTATTGGGAAAGAGTTACGCTCTATATCACATATGGCACCTTGAATAGTAACCAATCGGCAACTAAAGAGACATCATTGAACTGCTTCGGTATCTACTGAGAATAATCTTCAGCGTTCCGAAAGCCTGCCCCCTAAAGCCAGAATGCTTGGCCAGACGAACATCATCCGCTAGAAATTGTGTGGAACGCTTGTAACCCACGGTCTCGCATGGCACCAAAATCACTCACCCAAATAAATCCTGACATGGTCCTGGCAAAAGGTATGATGAAATAGGCCCCTGGCAAAGGAAGTACTACCGATCATTCGCCGGAAGTCTAATGCATGCAGGTACAGTCCGAAACCCCTGTCTATCTCTCTCACTAGCAACCTTACAAAGCTTAACCAAAATCTTGATGAATTTCGCATCCCAAGGGGCAAAAGGAAAGCAGCACACCGCATGATGAAGTTCGAAGGCCCTTTTTGATTGGATGCATGAGAGCACGCATTTCTTTGGCTTCTCGTATATAAAGTTGGCAAATTGCATATCTGGTGTTGTAAACACCGAGTATCAAGTATTGAGTTCAGCATCTCGG